TTCAACAATCAATGTTGAACTAGATCAAGCAGTAACAACGAGCCTGTGCATACAGTTTTTGCAAGTTAAAAGTTCACTCCCACTGCATTGACTGTCTTCAGCAGAGGCAATGATCCGCAGGGGACCAAATTACTGGCCAGAAATGCGGATCAGGAGATACGGGAGGAGGCCAATAGTTATGAGTTTTTGTGGGAAAGGAAGCCCTTTCTACTGGACCAATAACATAATGACATTGGCTACAAGCTTTGGCCTGGAGCAAACAATAATTAGGGACAAAAACCCCAACGCTCGTGTCACTATATGTCTGGAGATTTTAATACCTGCAATTATCCTACCGCCTATGCCCAAACATACCGATCTTGCCTACATAACCCACCTCACCAAGACCATTATGGAGACTCCCTGTTCGCCATTAGATGATGTCGATGAATGCTCACAGCACTACATCATTACAATTTCCTACTACGAATATTCCTTTTTGATGCAATGTCCATACCATGTCATGTCTCCTATGACAGACCTGGACCAATATCGTGAGGCATGTTCTGTCTATGACTCCAGGTATCTCAAAACGACTTCGCCCACATGGATCTCCGTATCAAAAGAGATACTGACTTTGATCAGAAAGGAGCTCCAGTAAATCTTCTTCGAGGAAACAGCCTTGCATCTACGTTCGGAAATGTATACGCCGTCGGATGGTATGCGCGTTGGGATGTTCCAGTTGCCAGGTATCGTCAGCCGGGACAGGTCGATATTAAACAAGATGAAATATTTCAATTCTTAAACAAGGAGATTCCGGTATATATTGATGCGGATACCGTCGGAAATATGGACTTGGGCTATCTGGGTCGATATTTACACCGTGCATGGCTGCACTGACACGAAGGGCATCCGTCATTCCAAAGTGGAGGATTTTATCGAAACCCTTTCTAATTCCCAAGCAAACCGCTGAATCTTTAGATGAGTTATCATCATTCCACAGGGATCTTACGCATACGCTCTCTGTGCATCTTGATGACCCTGTGCACTTCCAACAAGGCAGAGATCACGCAACGATTGCTTCACAGCCAGTCAGCCCATCCAACCAATCGCTCAAGGATCATTGCTATCTAATACGACCTCTCTTACGTGCAATCTATATGGTTGTGGACGACCAGGCTCTAGCAGAGTACACCAAGCCCCTTCCTGTCCCAGAACGAGAGAATGAAAATTGGATGGCACTCCGTAGCCAGTTTCGCGTTCACCAGGTCTCGATCCATACTATTTTGCTAGTCAGGACAGGTATTTTGCTAGTCAGGACAGGGCAAGATTCGCATCTTTCTTTTACCCAATCAACCTTCTGCCTGTCTTTGATGCTGGTTTGGCATTCAACGTCAAACGTCAAGATTACCAGGATCAAGAGAAACCGGTGGTTGTACGGGTCAAGCTCGATGATGTCATTCGATTTATTTAGGATCACCTAATTATGGAAGTGAATTGCAATAAAGAGACTGCTGACTTGGCAGAGAAGTTGAGACAAGAACAAGACATGTACTGTCAGGCGTGGCTCGATAAGGTCATCGACCATGCGCAAAAGGTTGGGATCAATACAAATAACTATACTTGGCAGGCTAATCGTCGCGCTTGGCAAGGATGAATAACGAAGTTTCCGATGAAGACCAGGTCAGTCCATTCTGGGAGATGATGATCTGGTGGAAGTGCACAGGTTGATGGATGTAATAAGAGAGTCACCAAGCACCAATGGGATGGTTATCAGGACTGGCTTTAGGCAAATTATTTGCGCCGACATATCTTGACATGGAAAAGAAAAATTAGATCAATTGAGGCAAACTTGGGATAGTTTAGGTGAGTTTAGTGGATTCTATGACTAGGCATTCATCTCTTAGGATCATCGGTTGCTCGCTGGGCCGTGGTCGCGTGACGTTTCGCGACTTGGTGATAGATGCACCAAATTAAGCCGAGGCTAAATTTGTCGCCGCAATTTACCCATGGCAAACAGTAGCAACTCGTTTAGGAAGGGAAGTAGTTACAATAAGAGCTTTCAAGTCTTTTATTACTTAAATCTTATAATTTGTATCATCTATCATCTATGCAGAATATTTAACACACCATTTTAACAGCACCACTTTTACAATTCCTGTCCAGCATTATTTTCTTTGGATCTTCACCATGATTTTTACTTCTAGATATGAGATTCCCATTCCTGAGGTCGACCTCCTCACTTACATATTCGGTATGTACCTTCTCCTTGAACTTCACATCTGGTTGTCGCTAACATCATATCAAGACTTGTCGTCAGAGGAGTCGCAATCAACGTCGACAGATAAGCCTGTATATGTTGAGGCCCATGACCCGACCCAACAACTCAATAAAGTACAACTAGAGCATACGTTGAAATCCCTAGCTGCTGGATTGCGGCATGTGTTTAAGATACGAGACGGCGATGTTGTCTTGGGCTTTTGTGAGAATTCTGTCAGTGACTTCGCTCATCGCGCGTTTCCCTTGGCTAATGATTGCAGATCCTATACCCAGCGGTGATTTTTGGATCAATTGCCGCCGGGGGAATATTTACTGGAGCCAATCCGTCATACACATACTCTGGTAAGTCATCAGCAGTAACTCCGGGACCCCATCTCCGATAACCCGATCCCGTGCTAAAAATTACAGAACTGGTCAACCAGCTCACCGTCTCAGGTGCCAAATGCATCGTTACCGACAGCCCTCGACTTGAAATGGCGAAGAAAGCTGCAGTAGCTGCAGGCTTACCACCCAATTCCTTGGTCCTCATCGACTCGAAGGACAGCAGCGCGGTCGGTGGTGTTTCATCTTTTCAAAGCTTGTTAGGATACGGAACGTACTCTTGGGAGAGGATATCAGACCCCAAAGTTCTTGCTGATAAGTATGTTGCCAATGTGGCTTCTTCACACTCTACCAAACCTGACATGTCTCTTAGACCAGCAGTCCTCAATTTCAGCAGTGGCACAACCGGTCTCCCCAAAGCCTGTGAGATCACCCATCGCAACTTGGTCGCCAACGCCGAACAGAATCTGCACCTTGACCGTGTGGCGAGGAAGCGAAAGAATGACCCAACTTTTGCAGCCAACGATGTCCACTGCGCCTTTCTCCCATTTTACCATGCTAGTAGGTCACTCGCCATCCGTATGAGATATAATCTGACCAATCATCCCAGTGGGTCTTATTACTTTCTGCATCTTGAATGTGAAAAGAGGCTGCACCACCGTCGTGATGCCAAAGTTTGACTTGGAATCATTCCTCAGCACGATCCAGAACTTCAAAGTAACATACCTGATCTTTGCGCCCCCAGTGGTATCTATGCTTGTCAAGAGTCCTCTCGTTTCAAAGTACGATCTCTCCAGTGTCAAATTCCTTGTCTGTGGAGCAGCACCGCTCCAGGCCGATGTGGAGAAGCGACTTGAGGCACTCTTCAGCAAGACCGGCGCTCGCAGCCGTCAAGGATGGGGTATGAGCGAGGCTACCATGTCGATTTCTATCTTTGGACCTGATGAGTTTGATCCGTCTCATGGGAGCGTCGGATACCTGGTGGCCAATATGCAGCTTCAGATTATCGATGAGAATGGCAAAGCTCTTGGCTACGATGAGGAGGGAGAGGCTATACTTCGCGGACCGAATATGTTCAAGGGCTACTACAAGAACCCTGCTGCTACCAAGGAGGCTTTCACTGATGATGGCTGGGTCAAGACTGGGGACATTGTCAAGATCGATAAGACTGGGTTGGTCACCATTGTTGATCGCAAAAAGGTTTGTGTCGGCAGATACTCGCTCATGACGCCCGCTGACTGTGAATACCAGGAACTCATCAAGGTCAAGGGATTCCAGGTCGCACCATCAGAACTGGAAGGTCATCTTTTAGAACACGAAGGTGTCTTAGACTGTGCAGTCATTCGGGTTCTACGGTATGAAAACACCCTTCCGTGGTAATTAAAACCCACTAACTGCGATTCAACAGAGACGGACGAGAACATCCTCAGGCTCACGTCGTGCGAAAGAGGCCAGATGCGACAGCCGAGTCAATCCTGTCATTCATGGACAAGCGTTTGTCTCCGGTCAAGCGAATCACGGGCGGTATCGTATTCACCGATGCTATTCCCAAGTCCAGGTCTGGCAAGATTCTTCGACGATTGATCAAGGATGGCTTTGCTAGCAAGGACCCTAGTCCTCGTCTATGATGGGGTACACGTCAATTGGCGGTGAACTTGTCCTGATTGGGACATTTTCGGTGGAAATTTCACCCTCGGCAGAAATTTTGAGCCGACGGGGATGGTTGGTTTTAGGCGATTGGTCTGTAGTTGGAGCGTGACACTAGATGCAGGTCGCCAAGATTGAGTGTTGCATCGATCAGCAATTTGTTCCCTTTTCTTTTACAAGTCAGTCCGGAGATTCCGGTGGTGAAGTTTATTCTCAAACTAGTGATATACTGCCAGCTTTTACTGGTCGAGGGAGGCATTCAACCTGGAGGGCTGTGCATCAAGAAGACATATGTCCTTCAATAAAGGGAACAGTTTGGCTTCATCGAGTTAGAGCGATGCATTAATGCTGAAGTATACTTTGCTTTCTTGCAGCCGGTTCAACTTCCCCAGATTGACCCCGCGAAATGCCACCCCACGTTTAAACTCTCCAGCCGGCCGGGTCCTCTTCTCTGCTTCACCCAGTTCAACTTTATCATCACGTCTTCGTCCACTGTGCCAATTGTAACCCAACAATGCAGAAATCGGAGACCCCGAAATCAGTGCCGGCACGAAGGCGAGCCTCCAAAGCTTGTATGAACTGTCGCGTCAGAAAGGTTCGCTGCGATGTTGTCCGTAACCCGCAACGGTGTACAAACTGCGCACTTGACGATACCGAATGCACCGTCATAGCACGGAGGGCCAAATAGTGAGTTCATTCTTCCAGTGATATGGCCAAGTATTGACCGAATAAGCCGCAAAAGACCATCAGTTATACCCGAGAGACCAAAACCCATGGTGTTTCGAAATAGCTTTCAAAAGCAACAAGAAAGCAAAGATGCTGCAGTCACCAGTCCCATCTCTCCGCATTATTTGGATCAAGCGTCTTTGCTCTTCAAGAGTCCATCAGACCACAGCCCTGAGAGCCCATCAACGTGCTTCGAGACAATTGAGGACTTGACAGCTACAGGATGCACTGAGAAGGTAAATCAGCAGCCAGTGATTCCAAGCGAGTTATATCATGGTCTTGAGCCTTATGAAGCGCCAGATAGCACGAAATCACGTCAAATCACAGGGCCCAACACCAGATCACATATTACATACTCCTATTACCCATTCCTTACCTTTGACATGTCCGGCCTGGAGCCCGACGATGTTCACTATCTTGAGTCTCGCAGCTGTTTGAGTGTTCCTACTCCCGACGCCCTGGATGACTTCATTCGAGAGTATTTTCTGCACGTGCATCCTGGTCTTCCTCTGTTGGACGAGGCCCAGTTTTGGGCTGTTTACTCTGGTGACAAGGAGCCGTGTGGAGAGCCAACTATCTCACTATTCTTGTTCCAGGCAATGCTATTCGCTTCATGCAGTGTAGGTGATCTCGAGCCGCGTTCATTATGATTGTGGCTAACTATTATCAGTTCGTCCCTTTCTCGACGTTGAAATGTCTTGGGTTCACTTCCAGGCGCAATGCTAGAGAGAAATACTATCGTCGGGCCAAGGTAACTTTGTTTGCACTCAAGGTCTGGATCTTAAGCCTGACTTCTCTATAGCTTCTACTGGACATCTGCTCTGGCAGGTACCTCGTATCTAATGCACAAGGGGCATTACTACTAACCTACTACGCCACCACACGAGACCGAGCGCGTACAAACTCCATCTTGCTTGCAACAGCTATTCAGCTTGCGCAGTGTGCAGGAGCCGATCAGTTTCACAAAAGGCCAGATCAAGACTCGGATATGACCAATAGACTGAAGCGTCTTTGGTGGTGTTGCATAGTGCGAGATAGGATACTGCCCCTCGGTGTTCGGAGACAGTTGCATATTACTTCGATAAATTCAGCTCTGGATCACTTGACGGAACAAGACTTTTCGAAAGAGATTCAAGAGTCACAAGTATACTCAGCGCAGACTAAGCGGAGTCTAGTTTATCTTTTTATCAGCCTTTGCGAGCTGGCAGTTCCATTCACAAGTGTGATTCAGACGGTTTATGGGACGGGACAGTCAGCTGCAGATGCCATTTCTACAATGATCGAGAACCAGAAACAGATCGAAGAGTCTATCAAGTTTTGCGAGATCGGTCTAAATGCCTGGTTTGATAAGGCGACTATTCAGTTCCCTACCCCTGCTGGGATCATAAATCCTGAGAAGTCGCTCGTTCTGTACACGAATTTAATGTACATATACTATTAGTGAGTTACCTACTCCAGCCCGGTGTTGATTTCTGACCATTCCCTTCTGTCAAGCTCCGCCCGCGTCGCGCTATATCAATATGAGGCATTCGTCGTTAGTCTTACTTCGCCAGGAGCCGGTATGGACGACAAGTTACACCAGACGCGGCTCCAGCTGGAAGATGCTACACTAGGAATTACAGACAACCTGAAGGAACTAGTTCAACTCAAAGTCGCCAAGTTTCTTCCAGTTAGCATGTAAGTCGAGACGTTTCCTCACCGCCAGCCGGACTGACACCTATCAGCATTGCGTTTGCAGCGCTGCCTCTGGTGTTGCATATTCTGGATGTCAAACTTGCAAAGTTACCATTACAGACAGCCCGGAAACAAGGTAGACTCAATATATATATGGAAGCGATGAAGGGACTGCAGAACCTTTATGATGGTGTTGACGACGTCTGGACTTTCATCCGTGGTGCTATCGACTCTGCAACTTCTGGGACCTTGGATACAGCTGATGCCAGCTACAATAGCGCCATTTGTTCTAAAGTATCTGTTTCTATCCAGGCCGCTGATAATTGGGGTAAATTCCTATTACAGGAACCTATTCTCTACTTCCGTCTCTCGCGGACGATTGATCTCTCATTGGCTGTTGGATGTTATGCAGAGGACTCTTCGCTCAGTCTATTACTGACCACAGCACAGTTTTCAAGTCCGAGCCACATCTTCGTCGGTGCTGACGTTCCTGCTGAAAGCCAGACCTCTGCTATTGGTTGTGATAAAGCATCTATAGACGAGAAAGGTAACACAGAGATTGAAGACATCTGTGCTGAAATGAGGTCCGACAAATTTGATGAAATTGGGGACTTGGATGGATATGACCTTGAGTTGGAATCTTTCCAGACACTTGAGTTCCTGGATATGTTTGAGTTGGACTTGGAAGATGGATTAAACAGCGAGAGATGAAGTTGGGTTGAAATACCGTTTAGTCATTCTGAATGCAGTCGTTGGCTCTTCTTTCATGTCAGAAGGACTTTTCTTGATTAATCGAGTCACAGCTTCCCGCAGTAAGATACTAGAATCAATAACTACAGACTATTAATAAGTCAATTACAGTATTTCAGTAACACGTATTGCTTCGATTGAAGATATTGGCTTGCTTGCTGGTTCGCAGTAATTCGTTGAACGAGAGGTACAGGGTGACTGGCCGTCGTCGGCGCGGTGGGTACTGATAAGATAAGCGAGCGAGTGCTCCAGGTCAGCTGTCTGATTGCTTAGAAAGCTGACATAGTTAAACTAATATCACTCAACAATCGCTCTGGTTGAATGTAGATGAGCCTTGGATTTAATATCTGCATCCCACATAGACCTTTGTTAACCATCAGTCCCCTCCCACAACCGATCATCCGCACCTTTTGCAAGTCGCAATGGTCGGTGTCCCGACAAGCAAAGGATGTCTCCTCTGTCTCCAGCGAAGCGTCAAGGTATGAACAGGTCTCACAGTTCACTTTTCCAGTGCAAGCACTAAGCTTAGCGACAGTGTGACGAAGAAAGGCCGAGCTGTGCCCAGTGCAGAAGAGGCGGGCGGACTTGTCCTGGCTATGTGCGCGAGATGAAGTTTGTTGATGAAGGGCCTAAAGTCCGGCGCTCGAGACGCAAAGATCAACCGGGGCAGGTGTCCAAAGGCAATGGTAGGCATAATGGTGGTCCGATTCATCATCATCAAAAAACAAACCCTGATGTTAGGCTGGGCCAACCAAGCACCTTTAAAGCTGAACGCGACCAAGTACTATCTTCATTCGTCTCCGACATGTTTCCGCTTGGATCCTCCACGGCACAAATCTCATTTCTCGGCAGCTGGCTATGGCATCTTCCACCCCGCTTAGGCAGCAGTGCAGTTCTAGATCATGCTGCATTGTCAGTAGCCTGGGCTTATTTCGCGAAGGTATATGGAGATTCCCTCGCATTGCGGAATGCGGAACTCTCGTATCTATGCGCTGTGAGAAGTCTGGCTTCGGCTCTTGATGATGCGAAAGAGCAACTTAGCTCGAATGTGCTCTGTGCAACAGTCCTTCTTGGGCATTTCGAGGTACGTTCCACCACTGTATCTGGTCTTCAGACTCTTGAGCTTACTTTGCAAATTTAAAGACTTTTGTCAATGTCAGTTATGCGTGGATACGACATGCCGGGGGAGCCGCTCGACTTATGCAGCTTCGAGGCGCCGAAAGGTGTTATGAGTCTGCGTTCGATTACTCGATGTTTCTTGCATGTCGCGGGGCAATTGTTGGTCTGCCCCCTGCAACCTACAGTACAAATACTCATAGCTTCTTAGATATCCGAAGCTTTGGCGTCTGGACAGCCGTGCATTTTGGAGTCCGAAATCTGGCAGAAGATCCCAGACGGTCTGATCGAGTTTCCGCTGTTGCCAGCATCACCGAATATGTATCATCGGATCTTCAGTTACTTTGCACTTATTCCAGGGCTGCAGAGTAGGACAAGTCGTTGTAACAAGTCCACTTTGGATGCGACACGAAATTCTCTTCTTTCAACTGCACAGCGGCTTCAACAAGACATGCGACAATGGTATCAAGAGTATACAACCCAAGACAGCAATTTGAGAAAGCCTCGTGCTATCTCACCCGTTTTAGAAGGCTACCCATTACAGTCACAGTACGCCTACCACGATGTAATGTCAGCGACAATAATCACTGCATATTATGCATACCTGATCGTTCTCAATCAATCAATGGCTCTTTTGGATACTTGTGACAGAGAGACCTCGGAGAACCAAGACTTCGCGACCGCAATTTGTATGTCTGTGGATTACTGCCTGCACGCTGGATACTGCGGCACACAGACTATGAGGTTCGCTCTACCTATTGCTCACTCGGTATTATGTCGCCATCATCAATGGACCAAGAAATGGATAGACAAATTCGATGCAATAATGGAGGCAACGATGATTCAGCCACTGTACTCTTAGACTTGGTCTATCTATGTATAACTTGGTAATAAGAACGGCGTTTCACAATTATCTAATATCCAGTAACGGGCTTCGGCCGGTAAGCTGACTCAAGCTTGGCAACCTCATCATCCGTCAACGTGATATTAGCAGCCAACACCGCTTCATCGATACGTTCCTTGCTATTCAAGCCGATGATCGGATTGACTCCCTTATGCAGACACCATGCCGTCGCAATTACTGCCATTGGAAGTCCCCTTGCCTTAGCAACCTCTTCAACCATGTCAACAGTTGCCTTGTCTGCTTCGCTCTCTCTATCGTAGAGTCGACTGAGTGTTTGGTCATGCTGCGTCCGTAATGAGGTCTTTTCGTCCAGACCGTTCCAGGGACGAGCGAGGACACCTCGTGCGTTAGGAGACCACTGCAATAAACATGAACAACTCGATACGGTAGGCACTTGAGAATTGGGACTTACAGGAATGCATCCAACGCCTGCGTCTTTGCAGTATGGCATCATCTCTCTCTCTTCCTCTCGGTAAAGAAGGTTGTAATAGTTCTGCATAGAAATGAACTTATGCCAACCATTTTTCTCTGCCACGTTCTGCAGGGCTTGGAATTCCCATGCAGGCATCTTTGGTCACAAATATTAGCTACCATGGATCAATTGAGAATGACTATGCTTGACTTACAGAGCTAGCTCCAATATATCGTGCCAATCCCAACTCCACCACATCGTTGAGTGCTTTCATAATCTCCTCCCGCGGGACATCTGGATCCATACGCTGGATCTGCAGAACGTCGATGTAAGTACCCAGCCTTTTGACACTAGCTTGTACTGCATCAAAGATATGCTTACGCGACAGTCCAGCTCTATTCACCATCTCCCCATCATTGATGGAAGCAGCAAAGACAGAGAGCTGTGGTTCGCCTGGGACACTGGTGGCGAAGCGGCACTTGGTCATGATGACAACGCGTTCGCGGGGAATATTGTACACTGCAAGCGCTTTGGCAATTATTTCTTCGGAGACGCCGTTCGAATAAAGATCAGCCTGAAGAATGGTTAGCCGTGATCAAGGCTCAAGGCCACATTGTTAAGTCGAAGGGGCTAACTTACAGTGTCCCAAGTGTTAATGCCAGCTTTGAAGGCGTGTTCGAGGAGGGGCAGAGCTTCGTCTTCCTCGAGAACCCACTTGAGCCAATCTCTACTTCCATAAGACATGGCTCCCAGAATGACCTTGGAAATCTTCAAGCCAGAGCGACCAAGTCTGTTGTAACCCATGAGTGTTGCTTGGGGTTGAATGAGAAGGTCTTTGACATAACCATGCTGAGAAGAAGACATGATGAGAAAGTAAAAGTGGTGTGCTGACAACGTGAGTTTGTGGCTGTTATTTCTTCAGATTTAGCACTTCTCAAGCAATTCCATAGACCTTTTATAACCTGCAATCTTATCCTGATGAATTCGTGATCCGCCATCCGCTCACAAGCTGACTGGCAGTCTGACTGACGGCAGGGATCCAAGACATTGCCCGCTAAGCCCAGAATGGCTCGATGTTACGAGTAAAGCTAATCCGCTTCAGGCTACATGATCCGAACTAAGCCCAATATGGCTCCAAGCCACGAACTTTAGGGCCGGCTTTCGGCTTACCAACAACAATGAACCCATTGCTGACTATAGTTGAGCTTTGATGTTGTCGCGAGGTGGAACATGGCGGAGGCTACAGTTGCGGAGTTTGAAGTATAGTATATGAGCCAACATGTAATGAGATAATAGAATGGGAAGTTAGGATATAAAGTCACCGAGAGCAGGCCAAGTACAACAAAATCACCAGCTCTCAGTCTACCAGCAAATCCGACTCTCTTGGGCTTTAATCTTGTTAATATTTCTCACTATCATAATGGTATCCTTAACCGAAGGCCAGAAAGCGACTCTGAGTCCTGAAGCAGTCGAATTTCTTACCAAAATCCGCCATCCTCCACTAGCAAATACACTCTCATCCTTCATAACATCACCATGTCGAGTCCCCGGTCTACGCCAGGGCTTTGAAGAGAAGACAGCTCCTGGTGAATCTCAACTTATTGAGAAACACAAACTTCAGATCGCCGAGACTCTCATCGCTGGCATTTCTGTTGTCATCATTGAACCGCCAGTCATCAAGCCTGAGAAACAAAAGAAAATACTGTTCAATGTCTTTGGCGGAGCGTTCATCATGGGGAGCCCCAGAGACAGAGCTGCACTGACTATGGCGATTGAACTTGGTGTTCGTGTCTACTCGATTGACTACACCAAATCTCCAGAGGTCAAGTATCCTGAAGCTCGGGATCAGTGTCTCGCTGTATACCGCGAGCTCGTCCAAAACGGCCCTTCAGGCGGCGCTCCTGTTGATCCATCCAATATTCACGCTATGGGATGCTCTTCGGGTGCGCAGATACTCGTCTCGATGCTTCTTGTAGCGAGACAACAAGGTCTTCCGATGCCTTCTGCTGGAATGTATCTTTGCACGCCTGCTCTCGACTTGAGTGGAGCTGGTGATTCTATGGTCTTCAACTCTTTGGGGCGCGACATCATGCCTGTTAGTCTTCTCACTGGCATGGTATCACAGAACTATGCTCCCGAAGGAATCAATGTGACGGATCCTCTTTACTCACCTATTTACGCTAACTATGACTCGTCGTTTCCGCCAACGGTTATCACAGTCGGGACGCGAGACTTTGCGCTTAGCCATGGGATACGGTTCTATTGGAAGCTGAGGGAAGCTGGGGTCAAGGTGGAGCTGCTGGTCGCTGAGGGAATGTGGCATGGCTTCAATTGGGATCCGGTGATCCCGGAGTCAATCAGGGCTCGTGCTGCAGTTATTAAATTCCTGGAAGGCGCACGATAGCATTTTGAGAGATAACTATATGCTATAGCGATGCCTATATCCTCTATAATATCTAGCAAATACTGCCCTGAGTCTCTTTCTAGTGGTTTTCGTGCTCATGCAGGATTCCACATTCCTGATCCTTCAAACGATCATAATCCTCATAGAATCCAGTCCACATAACTCGATCAGCGCATTTAGGCCTGTCATCCCTGCTAGGTTCATTCTTTGGGCAGTCAGGAAGCGCATCGCTCCACTGCTTCGCTGTGCGATGTTTCCATGGCTTCGGCAATGGCCAGTCGCTAAAGTGTACAAGAGATGCCCTCGATACCTCAGCCATGGCATTCCACTCCTCGTCTTCATCAGGCGCCAAGTACTGGGAGTGATTCTTTGCACGAAACTCGCCCGTGAGTAGCGCGAGACGTCGATGCGGAAGAATCATGGCTGAGTCCCGGAACATATGGTTAATAACCTCCATGTCGAATTCACCGGATTGCAACGCCTCTTTGATGATTTTGTCATAGCGGGCTTTGCTCGGCTCAAGGAGCATTACGTGGGAGCCGAGGACCTGTTTGGCGATATCGGTGTCTTTTTCATTAAGCCAGTACGCTCGCGGCACGGCGAGGGGGGCCATGGGGCTGAGAAAGTAGTGGTCCATGGTGTTTAAGACCAGAGAGTCGGAGTCGAAGGCAAGAATGCGGGTCCACTCAGTAAGCGAGAATGACTGAAACTTTGTGAGGCTATCTCGCCAAGTTGCGTCGCCCTTCGAGGTTGAAATCACGTCCATGGGCCGTAGATGAATGTGAGGATGCTTGCTGCGAATATTATCAATGGCCTTTGCTTGTTCGGATGTCTACAGTATGTGTTAGCAGGAGCCAATAGAACCGACCGCAGACATAATCCTATACCCCTTCAGACCAATCTTTCGGGAAGATCAAGACCAAGTCATGGCTAGCTCCGTACATGCGGAGAAGAGAAAAGTTGATAATCTAAAATCAGAATGAGCTCAGCCTTCATGCCTATTCTGTGATAGCTCGTACTGCATTGCATAAGTAATCGAGGTTTGTTGCATACTGCGCATACGCAAATTTTGGCTCAAGTTGTTCGGTGGTCCATGAAGGCTTCTGCTGTAGCAGCGGGAACCATGTCTTGCTTTCCGAATTTGAGGACGGCGGGTTGGCGGGATCAAAATGACGCGAAGGGATTAACAATGCAATGCTCACGACCAAGATAACGCTAGTGATAATGCATCCGATGATAATTCGCAGCAGCCTTGGAGGCAAATTGAGCTGCATCGTTGAATCGAACTTCCGGGTCACGTTGGAATTGAAATGCTGAGGAAGTAGAGTTAAGGACAAGCATGGCCAACCTTATCTTCATAAGGTGCCTCCCCTCTTTTTTGAACATCGTATACCGATAATTTTCTGACCCCTGAGCCTTTCTAATTATAGCCGCACTATTTCGGCCCAAGAAATCCGCCTATGAAGAGGGACCTCTTTCCAAAAAGGACGCGTGTCGATGTTAACATTACGTAACGCCAGCCAATTTCTTATCACACTCGAAAGCAATGACATGTCACAGTTCTGCTTGTGATAGCGTAAGGCTTAACCGTTCTGGGGAGTTTCTATTCAACCAGTTAGTTTATAAGAGGATTATAAGCAGGTTGGGCTTGCCTCTGATTGTGTTAGGATATCTCAGCTTGCTGGATTAAAAGGAGATCCGGCTGTGAAGTGATGATGATTTTGTCAAGCTTTAGCCAGGCCCTGTCCGCATACTATGCTCTGCGTGGTGAATGTAGACTCTTAGTCGCAGGTCTTGACTGCAAATGACACATACACTCACAAATTTGATTACATAATATTAGAACAGATTATGCGATATCATGTTCTCAGAAAGAAGTGTGCTTCAGTTTCTACCAATGAAGTACTTTTCTAACCATCCAGACAGATGTGAATCCCAATCACTCATACAGTGCTTCCCTCTGATACCACCAGGGTTCTCAGATGGCCTGTAATAATGTTGTAGTATCTAGTACATAGAAATCCACGCGCAATGATGACCTTTGCCGGCTTATTATCCGTGTGTTTGGTGATGGGAGGTCGGGAACTGTACCAGTCTTGCACCTCGCGGTCTAGAGTCTCGGCTTCCTTGATGCTGATCCGGATAGAGTGTGCACACCGGTGTAGGAGATGATTGCCGATATGACAGAATTGAAACGCTGGTTGTAAGAGAGGCTGCATCATAGTCTTCGGGATTAAGGGCAGGGGTTAGGGTAGTGTTCCAGGTGCTGGTATGCCGCCGTCTACATGTTGGGCGAGCAAAAGTCAAGCTAGCCCATGTATCAAGGTAGTACCACGTTCGCCGTCGGGTTTTAGGCCAGGTTGAGTGGCATTGCCTCCTGTCTATATCTTAATAATCCATAAAGGCTGAGGACTCTCGATGAAAGCCTAGCTTTGTGGCCAGGTAAAAACATAGAAGCATATAACTATGTATAGACTATCCATTCCAGGCAGTACAAGGATAAAAGCCATCCTCACTACTCTAGCCACTAGAACAAAGGAGACGATCCGTGACGCCAATATTCTGTGTCTGCGCAAACGCTCTTCATCACTATTGCAACTGGACTGAGGCAATATGTAGATCATCATGCTACAAAGACAGTGACCGATCCGGAACAGATAAAGACAGGCCCACCACGCAACTGAATGTTGATCCTACAGTTTCGACTGAGCTTCTTTGTCGTTCCAGTCAGGTAACTTCAAGACTCTCTTAGCATTCCCCCCTATGAAGTCATCTAGTACTTCTTCTTTCAATCCCCCCTTCCCGTTCTTCCCGTGGCCTTTGTGTACATTGTTCACACAGTCTTTCCAGGTCAGCTGCGGAAAGTTGGTTCCGAACATGACTTTCTTCCGACCCGTAGTGTTTGCAAATGTGATAAACGCTGGGTCGTAGTACTTGGGTGACCAAGCGCTTGTATCGATGTAGACGTTAGGGTGCTTCCATGCCACAGAAACCATCTCAGCAGCCCAAGGATAGCCGAGATGGCCACAAATGATCTTCAAATCTGGGAACTTGAGTGCTATTTCGTCGATATAAGGAATCGGTCTTCCTACTTCGCTTGGGCAAAGCGGTCCTGTGTGACCGACCTGTGTGAGGAACGGAACGTCAAGCTCGATGCACTTGACGAACAGTGGCCAATAATGCGCATCGGTCGGGGGAAGGTTCCATAGCCACGGCACAACCCGAAGACCCTTGAAGCCTTCTTTCCTAACGTAGTGATCTAGATCCTTTACCGCAGACACGGGATCGTGCAGATCGACCGACACAAGGCCGAAAATGCGGTTGGGGAAAGCTCGAGTATACTCGGCAATTTCCTCGTTAGACGCGATGACGGAACCTGGCCTGTTCCAGGCCGATAGGCATATCTGCGATACGCCAGCTTCATCCATCAGAGCGATGATCTGCTCTGGAGAGAGCTTTTTGGAGAACAGCGCAGGGTCCGCATGGCTTTGTTTAAAAAGGCGCTCCGTCTCTGGAATCCGATTCTACCTCGTGGTTAAGCTCCCGGTATGTTGGATCATGTCTGGGATAGCGACATACGTGGGTTGGGTTGGCCCATACATCTACAACCAGAGGGAAAGATTTATTAGCTGGCATGGCGGAGGATTGAAACAATCTCTTGAAGATATGCAAAACGCAATGTAGTTATGTGTTAGAGATCCAAGATGACCTTTCGAAGACAGTCAGAGTCCCTTATATTCATCGCAGATCTGGTTAAGGCTTGTGATCTTGAGTCGTATGCCGAGGTACCACTGCCCGGCAAGATGTGGGTCCATGGATTCCGACGCCCCTCGGATGCTAAAGTCCAAAGTGATTAGTATATCATCGGTCGAGTCATGGACTAGCATTACGAAAGATTTACTTCTGATCTCTATCGGAATTTAAAGAACCCGCAATGTAATAGTCGTGCCAGCTTGCTGGTTCCTCTCAGGATGCAACTCTCGTATCCGAGTTATGTATGTACAGCACGTTCTTAGCCTGGCATGAGTACAATAAGTTTAAACAAATCTAGAAGTATCAATAATCGAGGTTAGGTAGAACAAGATGCTATCATATTGCAGCTTAAATACTGCAACTTTACCCTTGTCGCCCGAGCCGCGATTCGAGCATATGTATTACAATTATTACATCCTATTGTAGGTAGTGACCGTAATGTAAACCTAAACTATATAGCTAATCCGAGTAACGGAGCTAAGCACGGAATTATTATAAATTATATACACTATGACTTAAAAAGCGCCGAAACCTTTCGGGATTTTACTCATTAGTACAACACATATATTCAGGCATCTCCGTATTAATAAGGGTCTAGTTCTTATATAACACGTAATCAATTCACATCATCTTGTATATATTATACAATACCCTGAATCAGCCGCTTCCTGGTAAAGTTAGAGTTATCTTCCGCAAAGGATCTGTAGCACCTGTTGTCCATTAGAAAACCTGGCCTACATTACTTCGGCATAGACTCTATCACCATGTCTATCTCGCCGGCTGTCCAGAGCCTGCTAGATCGGAACAAGTATGATACATGCTCATAGAAGAAGGTGAATAACACTAAGACAAACTAGGGCGATTGTGCCGCAATTCCAGCCGCTGAATCTTTCCCTGGCTGCGGGGACAAAGCCTCTTCCGATGGTAGCTGTTGGTATGTTGCATCTTTACGTCAACGACCTCATGAACTTACTTATTTTACCAGTTAGTTGTACTGACCCTCGTGGTCTGCCAGAAAAGATATTTGGCGTCACGTCGAACGGTGAGCACACCAAACCATAGCCCCTTTTTTAACTGGCCTAGTCTAAGTGTAAGCCATAGAAGTCTTCATGCTTCGTGCTAACGGCGGCCGAATCGAAACTGTCTTCAACGACATGTTGGCATTGGATCACTTCTTTGGTGTGACAGATATCGTTATCTTGCACCATACCGGTTTGCGAGCCCCTAACAATTATATATAACTTTTCATAATCCTGACACCGATCTAGATTGCGGTTTCAGCCACATGACGCAGTCGAATATCCATGCCGACCTCCAACGTCGGTTTCCCGAGGCTGATCCGGCGTATATCGACTCGCTGCCCTTCCGCACTATTGATAGGTATGCCCAGCTGCCTCTGTCCCGATCAGCAGTATTACTAACTGCAACATTCTTGCAGTTTGGAGCAAAGTGTTCGAGACGACATTCAATTTATTCACAATTCGGTTCTCGTAGCGAAGGAACTGAAGGACCGAACCGTTGGTTTCATAGTTGACATCAACACTGGGCAACTTACTCAAGTCCAAGGAAGAGTTGCCTATGCGGCACAGTAGAATTTGTTTAGGATAGATAGGCTAAATAAGATAAACAAGCTGGTTATGACATCTAGTTTCAAGCTGGACGGGGTAAATGGATCTTCGCAAGTGCTCCTGTAGTTGGTTCACACCAACACCTTCGGCAGATGCTTGATGTTTATAAATTAGTTAATTCGGTCTTAGTCACGCTACAACTTATTAAGAATGGCTCTCGTAGTGTCACTGACTGGTTCTAGAAATTAAGTAAATTCCTTGTTGTATGCTGACGTTACTTATTTGCCCCCTCTTTCTTAAGTAAAGAAAGACTGCCGAAAGGGGACTGCTTATCGGATGGCTCAGGATTCTTAGCTCGCATTGTTAAACTACGCAATAGCTTGAAGAGATTAAGGCTATGCCTCGCCTTCTGCCACTTTCATCATCTCCATGGCCAGGTCATCTAATGGCTAGCAGGCTTCTGGCGCACTATTCTTAAGAACAAACACAGAGTCATTTCACTGTCAGCTAAAGGGGTCAACTCCTACTCGTTTCGTAGTCTACCTCATAGTCATAACCACAATAGAACCGTTGACAATAAGATCCAAGTGCATGTATGGAGTGATTATCTTCGTGACGTTGCTGTAGTACTTTGACCTATAAATCTATTGGTATACAAAGTCCCTCAGTTTCCAATCTTAACGACAACCTTGCCAAAGTTCTTCCTATCCCACTGGTACTGGTAAGCCTCCTTGACCTCCTCAAAAGAAAAGATCTTGCTTTCAACTACCGGCTTCATCTTGATCGAGTCAATAGCACGGTTCATCTCTTCAAACTGCACCTTCGACCCGACAAAGATACCACGAACAATGCACAGATGATTGAGAGCTTCCATCAAGGCCGGCTGCTTATCTGATGACGTGAGGAACCCAATGATGGTGATGACGCCGCCGAGCTTGATACCCTTGAGTGACTGCGCAATGCTGGCTGCGCCGCCAATTTCAAGAATATGGTCAAAGCCCAGACCCTTTGGAGTCAGTGCCCGTGCGGCTTCGCCCCAGTTGGGCGTATCGCGGTAGTTGATAACGTGAGAAGCTCCCAGCTTCTTAAGAGCGTTGACCTTGTCGTTTGAAGACGTAGTGGCGACAACGGTAGCTCCAGCAGCGATGGCGAACTGGATGGCTGCGAGACTCACACCGCCGGTACCTTGGGTAAGAACCCAGTCACCAGCCCTGACTGCCTTGGACTGCAGTCCATAGAGAGCATTCCAAGCCGTCAGAGGAGCGCAAGTCAAGGTGCTAGCTTCAATGGCGCTCAGGGATTGCGGTGCCTGAACAAGACCGTGTTCCGGGAAGACGCCGTAGTTGCGCAGTGTGCCGTCGATAGCGCCTCCAAGACCACTTCCGGCTCCGTCGGGGGTGATGTCGCCCGCTTGGTGAAGTTCGTTGAAGAGCGTGCATACTCTATCGCCCTTGGAGATGCTAGTGACCTTAGGGCCAACCGCCACGGCAATACCAGAGGAATCTGAGCCAGGGACGACGGGCAGGCTCATGGCGAAAGGATAAAGGCCCTACAGAAAGGTCAATGAGAGTGTTCTAGTTCAATAGTAGGCCCTTTGACTTACCCTTGGGATGGCAAGCTCTCTGTAGTTGAGAGACACAGCCTCAATCTGAACCAGGACATCATGGTCGCCAAGCTTGGGAAGAGGGACACTTTTCTTCAGCTCCAATCCATCGAAGCTGTTGGGGTCAATTTCGCGAATAGACCAAGCTCTGGTGGTGGTAGGAGCAGCCATTGTGATTTCTTGGAATGCAACGTTATTGAGAAAAGAATTGGGAGGATCAAGATGATTTGCTTGTTTGTTTCTTTAGAGGAAGACAAGACCTTTAGAGACGACCAGACTGTCTTATTTAGACAATCTGTTCTTGGAAAATACAGGAGTATTGTTTATATTGAGTCTGATGGTATGATTCGCCAGTAAGCTTATTCGAAGCCCTTCACGTTTCTGACTCTACTTAGTAATACCGTACATACGGCCAATGTCGGACGCTACGGACAACCCCTGCTGGATATGCTTCTGAGGTGTAATGCATCTGCAAGTCTCTCGCAGGTCGGGCGCTACGGCCAACCCCTGCTCGCCATGTGCTTAAGTGGCGAATCATCCTCCGGCGGCCCCACCGAGCATCACCTCTGAGGCTAGCCCCGAGCTAGGCGTCGCGCTAACCTTGAGGGCCACTCCCGTGTTTTTTTTACAGTACTGATTCCCTAGACTAGTTCTCGGTATTTAAACGTCATCCATCCATCGGCCGACCCTTGTTCAGTTTGTAACAAGAGCATACCAACTGACGACAACTGCCATGGCTTCTCCAGATCAACTGGCTCAAGGATCATGCTTCAACTGCCGTCGTCAGAAGCAGCGATGCGATAGGCTCCTCCCGCAATGCTCCCGCTGCGCATCGTACGTCTTTCATTCCGTGGCCTCCACTGTATCTGCCAACGAGCTAGTAACACTCAGACAGAAAGCGAGTTACTTGTGATTACAAAGCAACACCTCGCTCCCAGCGAAGCATATTTTCGCCTGGGACCCAGGTAGAGCCTGTCGAGCTGGTACATCTCAGAGACTCTTGCAGTTTCGACTTGTCCCCACTGGCTGAACGCTACTTGGTATGGGCGGCTTGTGAGAGCGACACCGACGGGGGGGATGAGAGCAGTCACGGCCAGCCCACGCTATCCAGTCTTATCCAGGATATCTTCACTGCAGGGGGCGTTGACCTGCGCACCACGATTGAGACATACTTTTCCATTGCGCACAACTGGCTTCCGATACTGGATAAGGAGCAGCTCTATTTTGATACAAGTCAGCTTCTCGGACGTCCTGACTATCAGAATGATGTTCTTGCGCTGCTATTGCTTTGCATCTATATCTTCATACAGCCGCCGTGCCAGCACCCAAACCATTCCGTCAAAACTGCTTTGTACCGCACTGCTAGTCGCATGTTCTTTCTCCTTCAGCTATCTTCTCACGGATCAGATATTGGCCTACTTCAATCTGGTCTTTTGCTCGTTACATACGGACTTGGTCATGGATTGAGCAAGGATGCTTATGGAACTCTCAGTGTGTGCACGAGTCTCGCACAGCAGCTCAGTCCGGCCGAGAGTAAGCTAGATGAGTGTAGCCAAGTCAAGGGGCCAAGACCCGAGATAACGAAACTTGACCTGTGCTGGAGCGGGATCATACTGCTTGATAGGTAAGTGCCGGTATCGGCGAGTGAATCTCAGACTAATAAGTATGAATGGTCATTGCAGTACCATCACACTATCCCACTTCGAACCCCGCATACCACAGTTCGTTGGCCTCAACCGTCGATTTGTAGGTCTCGCAATTGGAGAGGCGGAGGAGGAGGACCTTTACGGCGATGACGTATCTCGCAAGTTTGTAGCACGAGCACAAGCCGCTTTACGCATAGGTAAAACCCTTAATGCCGTGGTCAGTTCAGACCCAATGCAAAGAGAAGAAGCCGAAACAGATCTTCACAAGCTAGTGAGCTCTCTTATATCCAGAACGCAGGGCAAGTCATTTCCACTTTGCGAGACTGTAGCCATGGCTCTCAGGTAAGTATCCTCATATGGATGAGCCAGTTAGACTTACATGTAAGCAGCGCGTTGGCCATTTTGTACTCTCTGCAGAATCCCCAGATATCCGCACATAGCAGTCCTGAAACACGATCTGCTGTTCAATGCGTACACAATATGATATTCGACACGTTTCACACTGAGGGCGAGATTCTCCGCAGCAGAGGCTGGAGAAATACCAGCCGGCCCTGCTTTCTTGGCATATGCTGTCTGCAGGGCGCTGCCATTCGGGTGGATAGACTATATGTAGGTGGTCTTACGAGTGAGCACTTAGAGGAACTTCGATGTACTCTTGAAGCGTTTAGCACTCGTTGGAAGCTTGGAGGTACGACTTCATGCCTTGTTGGAAAGGCTACTACTAACTATTTAATAGAGTCCTTTGCTCAGGCCCTGAACAACAGGAGAGACAGTGTAAAGTGATACTAAAATTTACTTACTTACATTAGATATATAAAAGGCCATTTATCTACATAGTATCTCGCTCACAGCAAAGGTACTGCCTGATAATCGGAATTATTATATAATTTGTGCAGGCTCGGCCTTGTTATGTCATGCTCCTAAAGCCTGGTCCATACCCCACTTCAAACAGCTTTGTTAATCGCACAGAGCTTAGATCGAAAGCTAATAACGCCCGCATCTTTTATCCACAGCGGAGTAGAAATTTAAGCTTTTAGTAATTCTCTTGGCGTTAAATGCGCTGGCGCAGGTTACGAGTTACGTTATGACATGTGGTTTCTTGCTACAAAAGCTCCTGTGGATATAGCCACATCACGTAGCTACTTTATTCAATACAACCTGTAGGAAAGCCCAGACGCTTAAACTTCCCATGCGTCTTTCTGTCTACAAAATGTTCCTTCTCCCTTCTTGAATATTTTATCACTTCGCTTATCATCCGTTTAGTTCACTGATATCGATTTTGTCGAAGCCAATATCCTCAATATTCTTCACAATGGTGTCCACTGGAGGCTGCCAGTGCGGTGCTATCCGCTACTCTGCTAATGGTGAGAGAAACTCTACATGAACTTCTTCGCCATGGTAATATAGTCCTCCGCAACGTTTTATAAAGTTTATATGCTGATTCTTGGCCCCTGTGTAGTTGAAACCGGTACCAAAGCCATCTGTCGCTATAACCTTTGCCAGAGGATAGTAACTCTCGCCAACCTCAACTACAACAGGAAAATATTTAGAACACCTACTGGTAATCGAGGTTCCAGCGCACCACTAGTGCCTTCAGCTTAAACCTGATTATCCCCCGCAATGCCCTCAAGGTGGCCAAAGGTAAGAATGACCGTGCATGATTCAGATTGGTACTTGTTGAACTGACGCTAATCGCAGTCGACCCGCGAACTTGCCCTCGCCTAGGAGACTCTGGCAAGCTTTACCATCATAACTTCTGTGGTAACTGCGGCGCCGAGGTCTTTGGCGTTCCAGAGGCTGCTCCGGAGGTTCTCTCGATCAAAGTCGGAAGCTTGGACTCGCGGTATAAGAATATTGGCCCGATGGACGCTGAGCCCTTTTGTTAGTAATCGTGTCAGCTACATTCAGCCGCTCGAGGGTCTCCAGCAGTATGATGGCATGCAGCCGCTGTAAACAGGACGAAGGAAAAGTATGATATTGGGGATCGGGTGTACTGGGAACGACACAGTAGTTAGCGGGGTGTTGCTAGCGACGCAATGCTTAGTAGTTAGTCTTACATTAATGGCACCTACCAGGGCACAGTGCGTCATGGTACTTGTGCAAAGACCTCCTGGGAAATTTCCATGTTTGTTAAGCTTTGTACCAGTAGAGTAAGTCTCCGCGATGTGGATTTGGGTTGATGTGCAGGTGGCCAATCAGAGTGAGGCTCAAAAAGTTCGCATGTCATGGCTCTGCAGGTTGGGTTTTAAGTCACCGCCTTCTCCGCAAGTGCGGCCACATTCAAAAAGCAAGGGACGGTACCGTTTCAACACGGCAGAGTCTTGGATTGACTTCACGCCCCCGTACACAGCAGTCTCTGGCGGAAGAGAAGTCATGGAGCCCCCCAGAGCAAAGGGTCCGGCCCGAGACATACGGAAAACATGTGACCATTGCAGTATGCACATCAATACTCCGTGGCTCATGACTCATCACTAATCACCGATACAGGGAAGCGTAAGATCAAGTGTTCGAATGAGAATCCATGTGCACGTTGCCATCGATTCGGCCTGCCATGTCGATACTCTCCAACTCGGCCTATTGGACGGCCATCAAAACGACGGGGCACCTCGCCAAACCAGTGCAGCTCTGCTGCCGCCTGTCCGAATGAAGGTCCTCTGTTTGAAAGTCTTGATATACCGGAGGATTTCGACAGCGCCATGACGCTTGATACTCTAGGTGCCCCGATGACTTTCCCGACCCCACCAGATGAGTTTTCCTGGTCTGAATGGTCGGCATTGGACGCTATGATGAGTGCTGCATATCCTCCCAATGCCACATCGCAAAACCAACACGTTCAGGCTCATGGTGAGAAGTCCCAAGTCGTTGATGGCGTCAACAACCCTGACTCAAATACACAATGTCAATGCGGAGATATGGTCAGGGAACACATGAACAACAGGACCAGCACACATGACCTGCCGAGGATTGTTGCAAGGCAGCGCAAGTCAGCGGAGCTGGCGCAGAAAATCCTGGATTGTAACAACTGCGGCGGTATCAACAACGCACCTAGTCAAATCGCCGGGAACGTGCTGCTCTTTGGAGCGGTTATGACGGAGGCGACCTCGTCGTGCCAATCATTCATTAGAGACCTGGAACAACGCGCTTTCGTACCAGATGACGAGCAGTCCAACACACAGATATGCCTCGCACTCATGGACCCTAACGACCATCACATTGAGTACAAGCTAGACCGACAATATGTCTGGCCCCTAGCCAAGGTCCTGCTTGGTATCGAAACCGACAAGCTCAGCCGGATATGCATTGCGTTCATCACTCGGCAATGGCGAGTTCATGAAAGGGGACACGAAGGATGTCAAGCTGGGGCGACATGCAGGAAGCTCAAGACTACGCAAACCAGTTGTCCGGCAGACTTCTGTCCGAGGAGCATTGAGCCCGCGTCATTCTTTAGCTGCTTCCGTACAGCCAGGCATCTCCAGTCTCTCATTTCAACCCTTCAGAAAGATTTGGAATGATGATATCGCAAGGCGAGGGATCATGGGAGACAAGAGTACTGGATGTTAACACACGAATGGTGGCCAGATCGTCCAGGCATCAGTCACCTGTTTCTTATCCATTGTTAGTTAGAATGGTCTTTAGCTGAGCACTGCCAACAGAATCTATGCCTCTTCTGTCAGAGATCTCATCAGACCCTTTGTTTCCTCCCGGATCTGCTTTACAATGTTGGCAGCCTTTTCCTTTTTCTTGAGCATCCCAACCCCTGTTCCTGCCCATATCGTATATGAATCCCTCACCATAGATCCCTCACCTCCGTTTTGAGTGCTAAGCGCCAACCGAGCTTCCTGGATGCTCATGCCCTCTTCCTCCACGTTATCATACATGGCATTCCGTAAGCATCTGCCATCATACATATCCGGCCAGAAATTCTGTCCCCAGATATCGTCAAAAACTCGTGATCGGACAGTAGTCTCACCTCCGTCAAGGGCAGCAAGACATTCATCCGCCACTTGATCATCCACCTTGATCTCATGACTCGCCAAGAAGCGCGTGCCCATGACAACACCTGAAGCGCCTAAGGCGATGGCTGCCGCCACGCTCCGCTCATCCATGATACCGCCGGCAGCGATTACGGGAATATTAGATAGTCCTTTCTCATGCAGTGCATCCAAGGCTTCAGGTATCAGGGTGATTATGCTTGCTCCGTGTTTATGACCGTGACCACCGGCATCACTGCCCTGTAGTACGAGAGCGTCCGGTGCAGAACAACTCGCTGCCTGGAGAGCTGCCTTGACGCTTCCGACTTGGATCCATACTTTGGTCTCAGGCGACGCGGCGCGGATGTTCTCAGCCCATGACTTGAACTCGATGTCTGTCCCGAAGGATAGCCAGACCATTGCTGGCTTGTACTTGGCAAACGTCTGTGTCCAAGGACTGGCGGGTCCACCAAAAGCGATGATACCAACACCGATCGGAAGCACCTTGGATGTCTCGTCGAATATTGAAGTCCCATGCAGCTTCTGTTTCGCCTGTTCTAGCTCCCTCTGCAGGATTCCGGGGCTGCCTGTGAAGCCGATCTGGCCAAGGCCTCCAGCCTTGGACACGGCCACGGCCAATTCGTTTGTTGCGAAGCCGCTCATGGGTGCGCTTGAGATGAGTGGATGCTCAGCCCATGGGAGAGATTCCAGCAACCTGGTGCGACGTTCCTTGGAGGAGCTCATGTTATGAAAGTGACGTAATGTTGTTTGGGTATTCTGAATAGGGACGTCTGTTTTAAATATCTCTCTTAGGCTAGTGCATCTGGTGTGGCGAATGAACAAAAACATGACAATTTTAATCAGCGAGAGTTCGGGCGTATTATCAATTCGACCGATGTGGTTCAAGCCTCTGTGATTGGTAATGATATAAAACTGGCACTTTTGGAGTGCGGAGAGATGGCGGAGACTTTCTCCAGTCGTTCCCATGTTCAAAGCGGCAGCATCCATGAGAGGTGGGCCTTGGTACCAAGCCATATCTGGCCTACTGTGCGAGAAATCCGTGTCCCTTGCCTAACTTGGGTGAGATCCGCTGCGCTGAAGAGCATTACTTCGAGCAAGCTTGTCATGGCCCACGAGCAAAAGCTAGACATGCTTCTGATTTCTGACGAGTCTACAGCGGCGAATTTTCTTATGTAATGTTCCCGGCCGAACTGGCACGATTCGGAAGTATCCGGGCTAGATATCATTATGGAATCCTGAACAGTCGGTTTAAAAGAGCGCATCTAAAGGTTATACAACGATGACTTGCTAACCCCCAATCCATGTCAAGTGTCAATCATTGGAGACAAGCGCCTCTGCCAAAGTAAGCTTACCTTTCCTGGCGTTGACAAGAGCTAACCATGTCAGATGCCTTTCGAATTTGAGGTTCCCGAGAAACAGTCGGTCAGTGAGCCGTACTTTGACACTGGTGACTACCATATGCCCATCACGGCCAAGAGCACGGAAGCTCAGGGATGGTTCAACCGCGGCCTAGTCTGGACTTACTCATTCAATCACGAAGAAGCCTGCCGATGCTTCATGCAATGCATCGCCCACGATGCCGATTGCACCATGGCCTACTGGGGATTCGCTTACGCTGCAGGAGCCAACTATAACAAGACCTGGGCAATGTTTGACCGCGATGATCTTGCAAAAGCTTTTCCAAAGTGTCACAAGGTTGCTCAAATTGCTTTAAGCAAGACGGGTCATGTTTTGCCGCTGGAGAAGGCCCTGGTTGAAGCTTTGCAGAAACGGTATCCTTCTAGTGACATTCCCGACGATTTCGACTCGGTCAACAAGGTGTACGCTGATGCCATGCGAGGTGTGCACGAAAAGTACAAAGATCATCTTGATGTAGTGGCTTTATTTGCCGACGCTCTTATGAACTGGAAGCCACGAGAGATGTTTGATGTTAAGACTGGCAAGCCTATTGCCTCGTCGCCGGTTTTTGAGGTGCGTGCCATTTTGGAGAGGGGCATGGCTATGCCAGGTGGACTACGACATATCGGCATTCCTCACCTTTATATCCACCTCATGGAGAGGTCGGATGAACCCGAGGCTGCCTTGCCAGCTTGCGACATCATCCGCGACCTGGTCCCTGATGCTGGTCACATGTCTCATATGCCAACGCATATTGATGTCCTTGTCGGTGAATATAGGCGCTCTATGACATACAACCACAAGGCCACTCTGGCCGACGACCGTTACTTCGCTAAGTATGGAGGTGTCAACTTCTACAGCTTCTATCGACTCCACGACTATCACTCTCTCATCTATGCTTGCATGTTAGCAGGGCAAAAGGAGAAGGCTTTGGAGGCATGCGACCGAATGGAAGCAACAATCACCGAGGAGATGGTCACTGTGAAATCGCCTCCAATGGCTGATTGGCTCGAGTTCTTCCTCGCTGTTCGCGTCCATGTTTATATCAGATTTGGCATGTGGGAAGAGATCCTCGGGCTGGATATTCCAGAGGATAAGGAACTCTATTGCGTCACTACAGTCATGGCGTATTACGGAAAGGGTATCGCTTTTGCCTCGCTGAATAAACTCGAGAAAGCTGACGCTCAGCGTCGTCTTTTCCGTGAAGCCGCTAAGCGCGTCCCAGTCTCGCGTCTCGACTACCCTAATCGTATAGTTGATGTATTAAGGGTAGCCACTGCTATGTTGGACGGAGAGATTGAGTACCGACGTCAGAACTATGACGTGGCTTTCGAGGCACTGAGACAGGCTATCAAGGCCGAAGACGCGCTGATGTATACGGAGCCTTGGGGGTGGATGCTCCCTGCCAGGCACCCATATGGAGCGCTGTCTCTCGAGCAAGGCATGGTTGAACAGGCGGCGAATGCTTACGCTGAGGACCTTGGTCTACGTGAAGGCCTGACTCGCGGGCACCAGCACCCGAGAAACGTCTGGGCTTTGCATGGCTATCACGAGTGCCTTATGCGTCTTGGGAGAGATTCAGAGGCTGTTATTATCAAAAGCTTGCTTAAATTGGCCCAGGCCGAGGCAGAAGTTCCTGTTGGTTCATCTTGCTTTTGCAGACTTGGTAACCCAAGTGGTTGCAAGGAGGATTCGAACGATTGTAAAAGGATCAACACTTAGTTTGCACAGCATTAAGAGACTTCACAGTAAATAGAAACACCAAGTATGCCAGAACTATTATTTTGAAAGCCACAATAGTTTCATATAGTTTTAACCAAAGTGTTATTCTTGGTGAAATTTTCGAGGCATTAGGATTAGGCAGCAACAATACCCCGCTTCAATACTTCCCGACCAAAATGCCATTTGTGATCCTTCAATCTTAGCAAGAACTCTTACGCACGTCATCTATATCCTGTATCGCCGCCATATGTCCTCTCGCCCTCCTACTCCGCCTAGCAAGGCCCCTTGGGAAGACGAGGACTTCCGATTCACGAGGAACGGCACCGCTTGTGAATGGGGTGAAGCATATCATCCAGGCGGCTATCACCCCGTTCACCTCGGTGATGTGATACAAGAACGCTACCGTATCATGCGCAAGGTAGGATGGGGTCAATACTCCACGGTCTGGCTTGCAGTTGACACGAAGTACGTCGATGTTCTAAGAACCTTATAGCTTACTGACACCGTTGATTAGGTTGACCCGCTATGTATCTCTGAAGATCACTCTTGCAACACAGCCTCAGACTACGAGCAGATAGGTGTCTCTTTACAAATCTCACCTCCGAAATAGCTGCCCAGGCCTTGTGACTCTCTATGACATAATCAAGATCACTGGTCCAAATGGAGCGCACGACGGCCTCGTCTTTGAGACCATGGGTCCAGATTTGACAACCCTTCTGAGATTCAGACCGGAATTCCAGATTGGCAAGCCATGGGAGAGAAGATTCACCAAGTACTTTGCCAGGAGGGCGCTCCTCAATACGATACAGGCACTTCACGGTCTCCATGAACGTGGTATTGTCCATTGCGACCTGCATTCTGGTAACATCCTCGCTTGCATAGAGCCAATCGAAGCCACCCAAGACACCGAGCAAAGATTGAAGCAACCTGAAAGTGACGCGCGGCCGCTTAAAAGGAAAGATGGGAAGAAGGACCTTTGGGCCCCGTCATATCTTCTTGAGCCTCGGTCTTTGAGTGACTACTTCTCATATGGCCTCGATCCACTTGTAAAACTTGCTGACTTGGGCGGTGGTATGTTCTTTATCATCTAACGGCATAAATAAGGTTTAGTAACTTTTACAGCATTTACGCAAGAAAATCCTCTACAGGCGACTGAAGTCGTCACTCCAGTCGCGCTCCGAGCCCCAGAGATTATTCTCGGCGGTCTTCTCGGCAAGGGCATCGACATATGGGCCTTTGGCTGCCTGATATTCGAGATGATATTTGGCCGACCTCTGTTCGTAGCGATCCAGTCTCTGGAGGGACAAGACTACGATGAGACTTCCAACGACGAACATCTCATTCAGCTCTGGGAGGTCATTGGGCCACTGCCAAAGCCTTTGCTCGAGAAATGGCGCCGAGCAGATCAGTATTTCGATTCCAGTGGAAATAGAATGGAGATCAAATCTCAAGAGGATGGCCACATAAGTGGTGGTGACGACAAGGACTTGGGTGATGGGATGGACGAAGAAAATGATGGTCCTCCGCTCGCAGATCTTGGTCAGTTTCTTTCTCTCGAGGACCTGATTATGGCAGAGAGGCCAGGTGATATCGACGAGGCAGAGTCCCAGGAGCTATTGGGGCTGTTGCGGTGGATATTCCAGTATGATCCGGCTCATCGGCCTTCAACCACTGATCTCATTAATCACCCTTGGCTTTAATCAGCTCCATGAAGGTCCATATATAGATCATATTACAGTCGAAACCAATTTTAAATTATCCTTACTAGTGAAAGCCTATTGTCTCTACCTGTTGGCTCGAGCCGTGGGGGGGGGGGGGGGCAACTAAGCAAGCTTAGTTAGGCATAAAAAGGCAGGACAGTCATAAAACGGTAGGATAACCCTGCGCCGCCAGCTATCGCGAATTTCCTTGATTTTATATATAAAATTAACCTAAATCTAGATACCAGTTAGCTAAAAAAGGAATATTCTTATCTAAGTGTATTATACCTTTAGATATAAATATTAAAGCAGCTTAGGTAGTAGTTTCTTTATGCTAATAACTCTAAAAAGGCCTCTTTTATAATACTACTAATATAATAAGGAAGCCTCTTTTAATATATAATACTAAGTAGTAGTATAAGGGCTCTTATAAGTTATTTATTATATATATTATTAAGAAGCTTAAAGAAGCTAAAATAATAGATTTTAGCCTAGTTCCTAAGCTAAATAAAGGCTAATTATAACTCCTTTTAGATACTAAAGAAGAAGCTATTATATACTTTATTATTTAGATATAAAAATCTGGTCTTCTGGCCTTTAAATATAAGATTAAAGATATAATAAATATAATAAGAAGCCGCTATAATACTATTATATAGCTAGTCTTAAGGATATAATATAGGTATTTTTATAATAATTATCCTAAGCTTAATATATTAATTTTAAAGTTAAAAGAAGCTACTTATTATAAGTATAAAGAAGCTAATATAAAGGAGATAAAGTAGTAGTTTAAATAACTTTTTAAAGTTATTACTAGATATAGGATTAGTGCCTTAAAGTATTAGAATACTAATTAAGCTAGAATTAGAGTTAAAATATTATAAAAGTATATATAATATCTTATTATATATACTAAGAAGAAGACTTTAATAGAGGTATTTTTATTAAAAGATAAGAAGACTTATATAATAATTAGTATAAGTAATACTATAGGAGTAATTACTCCTTCTTAGCTTATCTTTAAAGCTTTTCTAATAATAAAGTAGTTAGATATTAATAGTAATCCTAATATGCAATTTATATAGTTAGAAACTGCTTTTTTTAATACTAAGATAATACTTAAGTAGGCAAAGCACTTTAACTAGTAGTCTTAGGAGAAATCTGCTATTATATAATATTATTAGCTAGATTTTAAGTAGTAATTTAGGTATAATAAGTACCTAAAAAGCAAATTTAACCTTATTATTTTATATAATATGCCTCTAGGCATAGAAGGAAAGGAAAAAGAAGAGCTTATATAGTAGTTACTTATAATTAATAGCTTTTCTAGTTATAGCTCTTTTGCCTTTAGAGAATATTATATAAAATTTAATATTCTTATTACTTTCCTTCTTTCTTATTTAATATATATGCTTTAATTAATAAACCTAGGTGTTTTTTAATAGTTAAAGAATATATACTAAAAAAGGCTATAAGAAGCTTTATAAAAGGGAAATTTAATATTTAACTGCTATAACTTTATAGGCTCCTTTAAGGTATATATTAGTAACTTATATCTTCTCTAAAAGAGGGGTCTTTTTATATACTAATTCTTATAATATTAGAAGATCTTTAAAAAAGGCTTTATAGCTGCCTATATTATTAGCAGCTTTAAAAAGTCAGGTATTTTCCTATTAACTAAGGCATTAGTAGTTAATTATCTGCTAAAGAAGAAGTTAAAGACTTATTAGGCTATTAATTTAGTATTATTTTTACTCTTATTAGCAGAAAATCACTTCCCTATGGCCTCTAATATAGTAAGAGATATTAATAATTATTATTATAATATTTTAAGCTCCTTAATATACTAGGGACTTAAAGCTATATAAAAGATTATTAATAAAGCTATTATACTTAAAGATATTATAAAAAAATATATTATAGATTATTAATAGTATATTAAAAAGAAATATTATTAGAGAAAGTATAAAAAGTAAGAAAGACTAATAGGAGATTATTTTTATAATATAAGCTTAAAAGAGCTTTATAAATAATAGGCTAAATTTATTAAAGTAGGTATAAAGGCTAAGTAAAAATTATAACTTTAAAATATATAATCTTTTATAATATAATAGATAAAAGAAATAAAAGCTAAGTAATAGTAAAAGAAAGAGGTTATTATTAATAGTATTAAAAAGAAGATATACTTTAAATAGTAGCTTAAATATACTAAAAGAGATATAAAATATACTTCTTTTAATATATTATAAGCTAAGATATCCTTATAGCTAAAGAAGAAGGAAAATTACTTTATAATTAATACCTAGCTTACCTTAAAAGCTTATAAGGCTATTTATAATACTAGCTTTATAATAAAGCCCTTTTTAGTAGTAGATTTATTTAGCCTTCTTAATAGTTATTATAATCCTAGTAGTTATATTATATATACCCTATAATTTTCTCTACTTAACCTACTAACTAAGGAAGGACTAATATTTATAGGACTAATAGCATTCTAAGACTATATTATTCTAGGACTAATGGCAACCTTATATTATATTATTCTAATAGAACTACCTTTAGTATATAGAATATATTTATTAGCACTTTTATAAGTTTTAGCTTACTAGCTATTAATAAAACTTCTTTATATTAATTAAGCCTAATATATATTAAATCTACTATTAAGAGATATAATACTTTAATAAGCTTAGTATTATGCCTTATATAATCTGCTAATAATAAACCTAGTATAGCTTAGTTTATTTATAATTAGAAACTAATTATTATATATTAATAGCTTTTATTTAAATTATATTATATAATGCTAAGTAATATAAATATAATAACTGCTTATATTAACCCTATCTAGTAATATATTATATCCTATGCTGCTCTAGTACCTACTAATAATAATTAGGATATAAATAATAACTCTAAAAGTAGTATTAACTTTAATATTACCTAGCTTTATTAGTAGATAATTAATATAATAACTAAAATAAATAACCTTAGGCAGGCCTTAGTTAAAGCCGCTATACTTTAGGCCTAATAGGCTACTAACTACTAAAATATAATTTAGGAAATATATTAACTTACTGCTATTATAGTAAATAGGAAAGAATTAGGAGAAATCCTTAAACCTAATATACCTAAACTATTTAATAAAAACCCTACTAAATTAGCTACCTTCCTTACTTAATACTAAGCCTATATAAGTTACTTCTTAAACTAGTTTACTAATAATAGTAATAGGGTTATATATATATTAGGATATCTTAAAGGTAATACTACCTAATAGTTTTAACTTATATTAAAAGTAATTACTATTATGCCAAAAGATAAACTACTACCTAGAACTTTTTAGATTTATAATAACTATATTAAATTTAAGAAGGCTATATAATAAGTATTTAGGTTAGTTAATAAGAAAAGCTAAGTAAAAAGAAAGATTAAAGTACTTTAATAAACTAAATCTATATTAAAGTATAAAACTAAGTTTCTCTAATTAGCCACTAAGTTAAAATAGGATTAGGAACCCCTTATATTACTTTTTTTTAATAAACTTAAAGAAATAGTTTAGGCAGAACTCTATAAGGAAGCTAGACTAAAGATATTAGTTAACTATATTAGTAAAGCTATTAAAATTAATAATATATAATTTTAGTAGAGAATCTATTATAACTAAAATAATTAGAGATAATAAGGAAATAAGCTATACTATAATACTAACTAGGGAAAGAAATAAAATAATAATACTTCTTATAGTACTAACTCTAGACTAATAACTATTAGAATAACTAAGAAAGATAAATCTAAAATTATTTACTAGAACTATAGCAAAAAGAGGCATTATAACCTAAAATATAAGAACCCTATTAAAACTAACTAGAAGTATAAACCTATTCCTAAATATAAGAAAATTAATATAATTAAAAGAGATAATAAACCCTAAATAGCAATTAAAACTATTAATATAACTAGAATAAGATATAACCTATTTAATATAAGACTTACTATTAATATATATAACCTATTTCTTAGTAAGAAAGAAACCCTTAAGAAATATTACTAAAACCTAGACCTAGAATAATAACCTACCTTAAGATACTTAGCCCTTATAGTAATAGTTTATAAGTAAAGCAAAAGTAAGAAATAAGTAAAGAAAAAAGTATATAATATAAAAAGATAAGAAGACCCTAAGTTTAAAAGAAAAAAAAGCAAATAATAAAAATAATAAAGACTAAAAGTAAAACAAGATATAAAAATTAAACTTAAATAGGTATTAATACCTAAATTAGGAATATAATACTTTACCAGAGGGAAATCTATATTTATAATTAAAAAGGGAAAAAAAGTTAACCTTAACTTAGATAATAAACTAAGTACTAGGGAGATTAACTAGGAAATTAATAATATTCCTATTAAAACCACCTTATAATACTTAGACTAATATATTAATAACTTAAACTATTTAAACTCTTACTAAATCTAGAGAGAAGTTAATACTAGATATATTAGATATAAGGAAAATCAAATAATCTAGAATATAGAAATAATACCTTAATATAATAAATATAGAATTTATTTTTAAAGTAATAAGTACTAAAAGTATATAGAACTTATAAGAGAATATATAATTATAAAATAAGATAATAATATCTATATCTAAGTATATATAAAAAAAATACTAAAAGATCCTATAACTCTAGAAGAATATATTTAGATTAAAAAGGATCTAAGAAGATACCTAAATTATTTAAACTATAAGTAGATATTATAAATATTATATATATAATACTACTGCCTATAATACTAGTAAGATAAAGTAGTAAATAATTACTTCCTAGTATAAATTAATAAATATTAAAAATAAAAACCTTATATAATTATTAATACTATTAGATACTAAGTTATAAAGAGATATAGGGGATCTTAAGTAGTAAAACTAAAAGCTTATATTAAAATATAAGAATAAGCTTTAGTATATATTTAAAACTCCTAATATATTATATAGTAGA